ATAACGGGCTAGCGTGTCATAATGAACAACTTAAGGCTTACAATTTGCTGACTTACAGATATGAACTACAAAATCATTCAGCCTGGTCAGGATTGTGTAAGGACCATCTTAAAATGACTTAGTTTAGGACATAGTCCTTTCCATTGAATCAGATTCCAGAACCCCATATTGTGAACTTTGCTGAATCGATGTCATGTAGCTCTTGTGTCGTATTGGGTTTTCACCTTCACCATCGCCAAGTTGACTTGCTGTTGTGCAAAACTGTGCATCACTTCAAACCGCACCTGGAGCTCTTGAATGTTCTCCTCAGGTGATGAAGGTGCATCAGAAGTGCAACATCACATGGCAGATGAAGATCATGACCGAAGAGCATTTGGGATGGGGAATAGCCTGTGATCTCATGGACAGAACTGCGATAGGCCAGTAAACACAAACATAAATTCTTGCCCCAGTTCTGTTGGTTTCCGGAAACCACAAATGAGAGGTTAGTATGGATGGTTCAATTAAATCTCTGTACCATGCCATCCGACTAGGGATGTGAAGGTATCATTTGGGTTTTGTCAATGCTGAGTAGCTTGCAGAATTCTTTCCTTGATCAGAATGTAACTGAAGAGGTACTCTGAAAACGAAAATCCAATGCTGTATCATTGCCCCTGCCACCATGACAGCCTCTTGATCAGATGCAGGATATGTACAGGATATGTATAGATCAGGTTTATCAATATGATTAAATTTCTCATACATAATAGCTACAAAGTCATTAAAAGTGACTGCTTCTGCTGTGGAGAAGCATGTAGTTAAATTTTTCCTTTACCGTTTATCAGTCATCATCCGAGCATTTGCAAATGAAGTATGCGAGTGCCTCACCTCACAGGCACTCAGAGAATATTAGTGATTTCTCCTTATCTCCAATATTTTCTGCATCCCATTTTTTTTTAATAATAAAATATACTTGTCAATTGGGATATCATTATTAGAGCCCATTATAAGGCACACTGAAATTTACCCATATTTACCTGTGCAATTTCACTTTTTTGTTGATTCTCCATTCTTGTACTTGAACAAGTTTTCATAACATTAAATTATAATTTTTTCTGATGAATTCACTTTGGATAACGGAATCAATTTACACCAATATTTAAAAAAAATTTTTTTGAAACACCATTCTTGACTGTTGAATCATATTAATCAAATTTCTGAAAAATTTATAAAATGCTGCAAATTTTTTTCTGAAGAATTTACTTTAAATAACTGAAACACTTTTCATCATAAGCACTGTTGAAATGGACATCACACTTTAGCGAAGACACCAACAGAAAATATTTGTAAATATCCAGCAGAATTAATCATTTGAAAATTTTCATTGCAAAACATGATAGCGCACCCAGTAATAAGCACAGCACAGCATTTTTTAAAAACTATGCACGTCTTTGACCTACTTTTATGGAGGAGAAACTCTTTCATCATTAGCTACGCACATCATTTTCTTGTATCCACAGTCACTTGGAATTTGTTGATATCCAAAAACATAAACATCTGCATACCACTAATGACTTGAAAAACAGCCTTTATACATTCACTGGAGAGAAACTCCACCGCACTACTATCCTGTGTGACTTTTTTTGTAATATTTCCAGGAACATAGAAGAGTAATCAGCTCACAGCCCGCCTTGCTGGGAGTGTAAGGCGGTATCCAATGACAACAAAGAAGAATCCAACCTGTGGCATCCGAGTCTGTGCGTTGTTTGGCGGAGTGGGATATAGCAGAAATGATGACACAGAAGAATTTAAATTTATAGCTCCATATCTTTATTCAATGCAAATGGCAGATCATTATTCTTTTAGATGAAATTCTCTAAATTAGATATCTAATAACAGTTTAAATTGAAATAAGGTTAAATTTAGGATTTTGACATCGTAATTATTCTAACAAAGGGAAGAGTAATGGACAGAGAAGCACAGAATCTTGTATCAATGGTAGTAGGAAGCAGACTGACAAAAAACGGTGCAAGCTCTACATTTGTAGTAGTGGTTACATAACATGCCAGAATGTTCTCGAAATTACTGGTCTAGGGGTAAGATTCTGAAATTGTAGAAAGTTAATTAGAGCTTGCCTGTTTGCGTAGAGCAAAGCCATCATATTTTATATATTTTACTTATATATATATATGTGTGTGATGTACCAGCTTTAGTCGTAGCTTAAATAACCAGACGATAAGTTTAAAAAACAGGATCCATTTATTATTATTCAGGAGAAATAGCAGTTACAAAAATCAGATATCTGGAGTAAATAAAAAGAGTTACTAATAACTTTTGTATGAAGTTTACTGCATCGTGACATTTAAAAAAAAGCCCCGATATTCCTTTTGCCAGTCTTTTTATAGCCTCTGGAAAGGCAGAGCTTCCAAGAAATGACGTCAGCCGCTTTAAATATCTTGAGAACATTCTAAAACTGTACGTGTAGAAAAGGCGGGAAAAACAACTTGACTACGGGGCTGTGGATTTAATTCCACGCACTTTAAATAAGAGAATGTCGCCATTAAAAAAGAAAAGAACAGTTAGAATTTTAAGTGTATTCTTGACGATGGAATTTTATTATTACAAATATATATCAAAATAAAACACCCAAATGTTTAAAATCCATCCTATATTCAGTTCAGAATAAACCATATTCAAAAATTAAAAAACAGAGGCAAAGTGGTAAAACTCAACAGGAGTAGAACATGGCAAAATCAAAAATGTCATCTTTTGCTGCATCATCATCAGGGGATTGGTGCGACATACGTACATAAATAATACAGCCTGTTTCTGAAATGACAATGACACAAACTTGAAAATTTGACAAAATTTGAAAACAATTAAAGTAATCTGTGTCCTTATCAGAACTTACTCCTCTACTTGTTATTTATATTATCTAGTTATAATGTAAGTTTTCTGCCAAAAAAACATAATAAAGTCAGAAAAAACATGAAAGCAGTATCTTTAGTGTGGGTAATAATCACCACCCAAACCTATGATTTTTTCCCAATCTTTCGGTAGTTTTCCAAAGTCCAAAAACTTGGTGGTGGGGAGTCCAAAAACAGATCAACCTCATTTCTGACATCCTATGCAGAATGGAAGCTAGCACGAGCAAGATGCAGCTGCAGGTGTGAAAAAAGGTAGAAGTCCAAAGGAGAACCCGATATATTATATTACATCATATATTTTTTAGATCAAATTTTCATTTTTCTTTTATTTTTGAAAATGCTGGATTACTTTTGTTTTACGTATTTTTTGACTAAGTCTACTAAAATTTAAAAGTGTTTATTCATTTTAAAGGTTTTTGTTTGTTTATGAATTATGTTTTTACTTTTTAACATGGTTTGTATGCTTTCAAAATTTGCATTTAGTTTTGTTTTTTTGAATTAAAAAACTTGCATATGGTTTCGTTTTTCCAAGTGATGGGTTATCATTTTTGCAAGATTTGTTTTTGGTCTCGATCCACTCAATTTTTTTTTTAAAGCTACAAATTTTACACTGCTTACTTCAGTCTGCAGGGGTTGGCTGATAAAGACATACATTGCTTTGTTTTTCTAAGATTATTTTCAAACTTTAAATTTCAATTTGTGTCCCCTTGTCAGTTCAGAAACAGTCTATTATATTTATTTACTTGTTTTGTTGCATGAACCCCTGGTAATGAAGCAGCAAAAGATGTAAATATTATTTTTGGTTCTGGTATGTTTTGTCCCTTTATTTTTCTTAACATTTCACTGACTGATCGCCTATTAATTGGCTTTTTATCACCGCCTACCAAATAATAGCCTATTAATCAGCTTTTTCCATCAACGCCTACCAACTAATAGCCTATTAATCAGCTTTTTTCATCAATGCCTACCAACCAATAGCCTATTAATCAGCTTTTTTCATCAACGCCTACCAACCGATAGCCTATTAATCGGCGCTTTTTTCTCCAACGCCTACCTACTGATAGCCTATTAATCGCTTTTTCTCAGGACTATTTAAAAATAGCATATCAATCGGTAGCCATGGCAATAAACTATTGCCCTTTGCTATATCATCTGCATTTTATTATTAGTATTGAACAATGCATTGCTTCATAAACTCCCACATTTTCACACCATTTTAAAAAAATTTACCATTCATGATGAGCAAAAAAAAAAAAAGGTACAGGAGAGTTTTATTTAGATGATTTATCAGATTGTCCTGACAAAATTATTCAGAACTTAAATAACTTTAATTTTCTTAAATTATTCAGAACAGGGAGAATCCACGGCTAAGCAGTTAGTTGGACATGCGTATGCTGTTGAACCGCTAGCGGTCAGTAAAGTGTTAAAGGTTTAACGCTGTGCCTCTGTTTTTTGGTTTTTGCATGTGCTTTTTTCCAAATTGAACATATTTGCTTAGGATTATTTGGTTTTTGCATGCAGTTTATTTTGAATTGAACATGTTTATTTTACATTATTACCACCACGTGTTGCTGCTATCAGCACACAACTGGACTGGGTTTTGAAATGTTTTTTCTTTATATTTACTTCTTTTTTTACTACAAATATATACTGTTAAGAGTTCATAAATGGAATATTAATTTAACTAAATGGTTTTGCAAAGCCTAATTTTGTGATATTTTCAGATATACAAGAAAAAAGTACATAATGAATTAAAAAACCTAAATCTGCATTAGTTAAAACATTTTATGATGAAATTTAATATAGCTCTACATTAAAGATACTATGAACTGTCTTAAAAATATCAGCTGAAAATTAGATGCCATTTCAGTACTAATATTTAGAGAAAATACATATAACTATGTAAAGATATAACATTTAAATACACTTGATTACAAATACCTTTCTGGATTCTCAAACAAATTTCTGCTTTTAAATTACACTTTGCCTTTTAATTAAACACACAATGTAAACTTATTAAATTATACCCTCTCTCTGAAAATTATTAGAAACAGAAAAAATAAATAACTAAATAAAATGCAAGGAATCTCATACTCATTCTCATCCTTATTAATAGCAGCAGCTTTAGCTTGAATAGATAAAATTATTTCTTTCAAACGCAATGGATCATCTTTCCTTAATCTAAAGCCAATATCTGAAGGGAAAAAGAAAACATTATTTTGCAAATATGTATCAAGGATTAAGTAAATTTTAGTTATCAGAAGTATGTAAATTGTAATAAATTCAACAGATGATTGAGAATTTAAAAAACAGCTGCATGAATGCTTAAGATGAGAGAACGGAGAAGAAAAGCTTTCAGATATGACCGCTGATTTGAACATGTAATTTTGTTTTTGTAATAGAGCAAACCTTGATATGAATAAACAGATTCACACAGAATCATTTATGGCTGCACTATGCACCTCACAATTCCATACAGCTTACATTTTCAGAACAATGTAGAATAGTTAGTAGAAGCTAAGGGCTACATTGCCAGCAGGAAGATGAAGTAGGAAAAAAAAAAGGCTGTGCAAACAATAACACCAGTATTTAGAGATGAAGCCTTTGTTTAAATTTTGAGCTGTGATTGGATAACAGACATCCACAATGCAGTAGGATTATGTAAGTAAGCATGAATCAGAGAGATACACTTATTATAAATAATTCACATAGAAGGTACACAAATTAGAGTGAGGAATTGCAAGGCTATTGCTAAATCAAGTTATAATTTTGAGATATCAATTTTTTTTTATCTAATAGATATACACACATCTTATCATAGAAGAATATGAATACATTCAGCTGTATGTCAAAAGGTAAAATTCAAAAATTAACTTCACCTGATATATCAAATTTTTAATTACTTAAAATGTTTTGTCAAAAACTGAAGCTAAATTCAATTCAAAATTACTTGCAATTTTTAGCTTCAGTTTTGGCATATCATATTTGACTGCACAGAAAGTGTAATCCTCCCTCTTCCTCCATTTTTAGGATTTTCATGGTAGCATACCATTGCAAAAACAATGAATAATATACATTTTGTAGAATGGTCAGTAATTTTATTGCATTCACAGATGTAAGATTTTTGAGTTTCACAGCACATTAAAAAAAAAAACCTTCAAAATGTGTTGAATAGCACTGAGATCTGGTTACTTAGCTAACCACAGAAAGACATCCGACCAGATATAGCGAACCTATGGCATGAGTGGCACATGATTTCACTGGCACAGGACAGGCATGTATTAAACACAACAGGTACATTAATTTTATTCACTTTCTATACTAAAACCATATTAAAAAAATTTCCAAGCAGCCATCAAAGACAGATTCAAAAATGAGCACGAGCATGGACGACTTAATGATATTTTCCAGGACAAAAGGGTGACTAGTAGCCCACTCCATCATGGAAGTCCTGGAAACTTGACTTTTTCTTGGAGAAGTACGTGCATGGGATGAGCTGTAAAGACAGAACCCAAACTGAATTGCAAATTACAACATAATTTCGCTTTCTTATATTTGAAAATGATGGTGGTATGCAAAAAAACTGATGTTCTGAGATACAGCGGGATGATTTTTTTGCGAATAAGAACATCTGTGTACACTATCGTCTCCTTTAACTGATTCAGACAATTTTATTTTCTAAACAAAACAATCTGAAAAAATGATAAGATAAAAGGCTTTTATATCATAGAAAAACTTAATTTTTAAATAACTGTCATACAAAACCTTTATATTAGAGCAGTGGTTCATACACTGTGCCAAGTGGACAAAGAATAATTTTGAAAATTAAACATTTATAGATTCGATGCTCTTCGTCAATCTGAGAAAGAATAATTTTGAAAATTAAACATTTGTATAGATTCAATGCTCTTTGTCAATGTAAGAAAAAATAATTTTGAAAATTAAACATCTTTATAGATTCAGTGCTCTTTGTCAATATCAGAAAGAGTTCGGAAGTTTGAAACTCTTGGTTCTTTAAAGGAACCCCAATTTCTAACTAAGGGGGCAGTTTAATGTTTTTTAAAGATGGACTGGTTCAGAAAAACCGAAATTTTTTTCCATTCCCATTTATAACTACACTAAATACCTCATCATGGCTAGCACAGATTTAATGAACTTTTTTATTAAGGTGATGGAACTGGTTATATCAATAAACTTTTTTTCCTTCCATTTCTTTTTTTAATGCATACACAAATATGTGATGCAATGAAGAGGCGGGGAAATTATTCTTATTGGCAAATTATTATACTGGTAAAACCCAGAAAGTCGAAAAAAATCTCAGTGAAAGAGTGGTAAAAACCATAGGGTGTGTATGGACAATTTTCCCACATCTTATGAACTTTTCAAGTTTCCAGAAACGAAATCTGTGTTTTGTGGAACTGAAAATATATATATTATATATATATATATATATATAATGCTGATGGAAGATAATAAATTAAAACTGGATGACTTTGACTGGGCAGTAAGTAAGGACAAAGTAACTTGCCTAAAAGTGAAAGACAACAGATTTATTATTTCATCCATATTAGTCAATCCCATTGTCCAAAGGCCATTACAGATTACAATAAAATGCTTACATAAAATTGACAGAAGGAGTAAAAAATGGTGGAATATATATATATATATATATATATAATATATATTTTTATTTTTTTTTTGTGTGTGTGTTGTGTTTGTTTGTTTGTTTGTTTGCTTCATTTTATTGATTCCACCATTATTAATGCCTTCATTATATATTGAATGCTTCCAGAAAATGATACAAATTTTAAAATACTTATGTCATTCAGATTGGACATAATCAGCAATCTGATACAAACTGGGAAAACAAAGGATCCATACCAAAGTGGAAATGATCAAGCCCTATCTATTAAATATTATCTATATCTATATCCTATACTTATTAAATCAAATTATATAACAATTACCAGTTAAATAATATTAATTAATCATGACGTCAAGAAATTGTTAAAATATACATACATTTTTAAATCATGAAGTATTTAATATTTATCACATCCGGACACTTCATTACTAAAAATAAAGAAATTATATTGCACTTATAAAAAGATATAAAATGTGCATTTTACTCACTTTTTAAAAGTAATTGTATCAGTTCAATATCTTTGCTTTGAAATGATTCAACCAGCTGATGGAAAATATCGAAAATTAAAGTTGCATGTGTGATCTAAAAGAAAAAAAAAAAAAAAAAATTCTTTTAATACTATGCATAATAATTTGTAAGCACTTAAACAAATGATTTTATATTTAAAAGACCAAACTAAGAAGGAACAAAGAAAGCATTTATATAGCAGCCTATATTATGCTGAAAACATGTTTTCAAAAATTAAATAAAACTGTACTTTTAAAATTTGTAAAGCAATAAAAAGATTTTAAATTTCTGCTTATACTGCTACATTTTTTCCCAATACTGATTTACTCATCTACCATAAATTTTTTACATGAACATTTGCTGATCATTTTTTATTACTTTAAAATACATATATTATATTCACAAACATAAAATATAACCCAAAATCAATTCTTCACTTAAAGTTTCCAAGGCAGGAAAATGCCAATGTATTAGAAAAAAATATTGAAAATATGCTCTTAGGATGATAAGAAGAATTTAACTTACTTAAACAAGTGTTTTACAAGGAAATTTATATCCTTCAAAGCTGGTTGTACCAGCCTTTTCCTTCCTCTTATTTCAGAAATCTCCTGTCTTTCAATGCTTTAACTGCCAAACACATCTGTGGATACTCCACAGTTACCGTTCAGTTAACTGCTGGCTATGCATTATTTCCCATTAATTTCACTACAATTTGGCAAGCATCAATAATTTTGTCCAGTTCTAATATAGCAGGAAATAAAGCAAAGGTAGTTTTACTCACAACATCTTGTAATACTGTGTTATGAATTCATGGAATAAATTTTTTTGCTTGCCATTACTTGTTTATTCCTTGTAATGGAACTTTGTTTCAAAAGCATATATCAAGATGAAATACACTTGCAACAGAAACACCATAAACAGTGAAGAGACAAAATATGTATTTACAATTTTGTCCCTCATAATTTAAAAAATGCTAAATCAAATTACTTTACTTAAAATTAAATCTCACTGTTAAAAAAAAAAAAAAAAAAAACTATAAATTGCATTAATAGAAAAATTAATGCAAAAATTTATATTATTCTGAGTTAAAGTTTCATCTAAATTTGCATTATAAATGCAACAGATTATGGATATTTTCGGTTTTCTTCTAAGTGTAACATAAAAGCAAACCAATCTCCCTTATAAAGTCCTCTATAAACATATGCCTCAACAGCCAAATGTATTTTGTTAATATTAAATAATAAGATAAAAGGAATTTTACTGCTTTTGTACTTTTCTACTATAATATGATAGGCAAAACTCAAAATTAGTATTTCAACTCAAAATAATTTAAATATTAATGAAAAGTAATTATTATAAGTCATGTTAATATGCAAGTCTACAAAGTAAGTTCACATTTACTGCATTCAGAAAAGTATTCTTTTCCTAATTTCTAATCATAGCATTATGCACATAAATGCTTAGTGTGAAAACAAGAATTCATGTGCATTCATAAATGATTACAGAGATTGATCAGAAATACATACTTTTATGCAAAAATCTATAAATATTTTCTTATCAAACAATTGTGTTATAAAATTTTAAGCAAAAATTGCAATATACAATATTACACTATATTTTAATTCAAGCACAGAGATGGTTGCGATAGTACTGATACTTCACATCAGACATACTTCATACAATGCAAGATAAAAAAAATTTAAAGCAAACTTCTAATTTTAATTGCCAATAGATGGTACATTTTCCTTTCTCCACTAAAAATAGTAACTAGTTGTAATACATCAATCTGCATCATTTCAAAATTAATCCACATCGTGCTTTCTTACATAACCCAGAAATACATGTATGTTACTGCCAATCATATTACAGACTTCAATTCGAAACTGAAACTTTTTTAACACATCTCTCTTATGTTTCTTCTGAATGTGCAGTTACTTGCTCCACTTGCCTGCATCAAAGTAACACGTCACCATTTGCTTTCCTGAATTGTCCATTGCCTGAAGAGAAGTAAGCTTCCAATAACTGTGGGATACACAATGCACCTATGATGATACATCAACCAGAATTGTTTTACGAAGAAATAAAAGTTATGTGGTGAATCAACAGTTCTGTTTGTCTCCAAGTTCCATCGATCTCCTACACATTCTATTTGTATGCCAGCAACATCTATAACCATATCGGCCATGATTAAAAAGTAATTGGCATCTTCTGTCTGATGCATCCTAAAACATTGCAATTTAATAACAGTAGGATACTATGAATCTATATGTGCTTTTCCATCAAAGAAAAAGTTATACACATAATTAAAAAATACATTTATTGCCAACTTCATCAAAGTGTCTGCATAATTAATCACCATCACTTAAAGTCCTCAACTGTGCAACAGAAATCAATAGCAGTATGAAAGAGTGGGGAGAAAAAAAAGAGTTTTGTATATGATCAAAGTGTATAACAGAAAGAAATAAAGGTTGACCAAATTGTAATACAAATATTTCTTCATATTAAATGTACTGTCCAAACTCATCCTCAGTTGGCATACATAAAAAGTTTACAAAGAACTGTACATGTATGAGCCATAGTTTTCAAGATAAATGCGAAAGAAAAGTATGATATGATATATCTAGTGCAAGGAAAAAAGTTTTGATTGGAAACATGAACATCGGTATTTGCATACGTTTAAATAAAAAAATGGCTACTGCGCACACTGAAGCACGCATGTACGCACCAGGGAATGGCTGAATGCACAAATTACAGTAGCATAGTATCTATTGTTTGAATCATATTTAAAAGACTGCATCTAGTAGCTCTAGCACAGTTCAGCGCTCCTGTTTCATGATTGATTGGATATGGAATACTCAGGCCACTGGAGTGCATGTGGGAATACGGTTTTAAGGCCGTAATAATCGCAAGATCTCACAACTTTGGATTTCTTCCTATGGAGTCATCTGAAAGAATTTGTCTATTGAAACCTAATTACTAAAAAAAGTGACTTAATTGCTAGTCTTTGGTGGACACCAAGCTGCTGCAATGTGTGCAGATAGCCATTCCACAACACGTGCATTCTTGCTTTAATATAAGTGACAGACATTTCGAACATGCTAACATGCAAATGCAAATATTGAAGTTCATATTTCCAATAAAAATAAAGTTTTTTTCTTCTTTATTAGCACCAGATATAACATCAGATTTTTCTTTTGCATTTACCTCGAAAACTATGGGTTATATGGGTAAAGTTATTTCTTTGTGTATTTTTTATGTATTCCAAGTAAAGAATCTGGTTGTACAGAGTTTGGGAAGTCTCAATGGAGCCTCCTGTGTGGGTGTATACATATGCATTATAATGAAAATTTAAATTCAAAACATGTTCAGCTTGAATGAAGAGATAGTAACAATTAAATAAATTATTTGTAAAAGCAATAAATATTTGTGAAAAATAAGAAAACAAGTCTAGTTTTAAAATTCAACAAACAGCAAATGCAAAAATACCATTTTAACTATTTTTAGTACATTTTTTTCATAAATTATTTAGCTTAACTTGATGTGTATTACTTTTCTTTAAATCAAGTGAATGGTTCTGGTTCTGATTTTACAATTTTGGATTGCATGCATAATACATGCACACTCAGACAGATAGATATAGATATATATCTGTCTGAGTGTGCATATAGATATATATCTGTGAAAAAATTAACTGTTAGCAACTACATTTTTTAAGCTAATCTGCCACATATAGTTTACTAGTATTTTGAAGTTAGCATCCTTATCCTAACTCACTTTAGTATTTGTTGAAAAATCCCACAAACGATTTCTGTATCGCTGCTAGAGGGCGCTTCCCTTCCGAGAAAAGAATGTTAGTTCAGTTTATGATGTAGAAGAAAAATAACCATCAATGCATTTCAGGTTTGCTTTTGTAAATAAAATGATTATTTTTGTAATATGTTGAAATATCAGTTTCTATTAGTACTAAGCATGACCAGTTCACTCCCATGAAATCAAGATGCAACGTTTCCTAGCTTCCATGACGGGAAAACTCAAGACCAGTTGTCCTTTTCACTTCCTTGTACGAAGTAAAAAGGAAGTATTGTAATCGCGGAGAGTTTCAGGCAGTATATTTCAACAAAAGTATCCATTTTGACCGCTATCGAATGTACTTCAACAATGTTTTTGTGTGATATCTGTACATATGAACAGAATAAAACACTCTTTTCCTCCAAAAAAATTATAACACTGCTTTAAAATAAATTCTAAAGAGAATTTTTCGTGGCGTATGTACACACGTATCTCTCATAACTCAAAAGCGAGTAGCCTCAGAACATTGAAATTTTGTATATAGGACTGCCATAACATGTAGATGTGCACCTCGTATTTTGGTTGCAATGGGCCGCACCAAACGTATATAAATATATTTATATATATATCCACTCTGTTACCCGGTTCAGTGATATCAGTTTCTTTACTCTTATATGTTTGTAAATTGTACATTTTTTGCTTTAAAAATGATTGAATTATGTTGTTTTTATCTTCCGGTTAAGGTTTTTATGCCTTTAGTACATCTGTATGCAATATTTTCAGAATTATCAACAATTTTAAAGTTGTTTAAGTGTCGCTAAGCCTTTTTTTTATGGCAGCCATTGATTGTTTACATTTGAAGTCTAGCCATTGATTGTTTACATTTGAAACAGCAGACTAGTAGATTTGTTGCCAATCTAGAGAAACTTAGCTTCGCAACAACAAAGATAACGCCTTCATTTATTATTGCCAATTAAATCATGCTTAATCCTTTCTCGAATTTTTTTCGAGGAAGTAAGTGTTTAAGATTTACTTCGTAATTTTTAATATAGATATTTTGAGTTTTTATGTATTTTTGCCTCCTCGTGAAGTGAGAACTGAATTAATTGAATGAGAAATACTCAATCATCTGTGAAAAACTGTTCTTTTTTGTTTTGTTTGCTTAATTTCTTTTATACATCCTTCTAGCTTTATTATAGTATTGGCAACAATTAGATAATTCTATTCTTTAAATGATATAAATTTTGTGCATTATGAGTTATAATATGAACGAAATATAATACTGT